GAGTGACTGAGTGTCCTGTGGAGCCTTTATCACAAGCTTTGAATTTGGGAGTCTACCTTTGATGTCTGCAGATGGGTGGGAGAAAAACAGTAATGATGTGACCTTCTGTACTGTGACTACAGCCCTCACAGCCATGGGATTTTTCCAACTTTCCTGAAAGAAAATACCAACCAATTCTGCCCATTCTATGGGAGTTCAGAAATTCAGGTGAGGTGTTAAAAGCATCTCTACTTCATTTTCTATTGCCTAGAATATCTCAGGACCTTTGTCCAAGTCCCTGGGTGATGTACTATCAGAGCCCTGGTGACATGATGGAGTACATGAGTGGGTGGGCACATGGATGATACACTGGGTGAATATAGATTTGGTAGATGATTAATGGATGTTAGGGAAATAGGTGAGATGGCAGGTAGATGGCAGAATACATAAATGGGTGGGTGGGCAGGTAAATAAGTGGACGATTGAATATTGAGAAGGTGGTAAGACAGTTGGGTAAATGAGTAGATACGTAAATGGTGGTGCTGAGAGCTACTGGTATTTGCCTGGGAGATGGATGCACAAATGGTTTACTTAAAGGGTACATGAGGCATAATGAGTGGTCAGAGTGTGACATGAGATTGTTTTCTGTTAAAATTATATTGAATATGTTCATAAACACTAAAGGTTTGTAAAGCTGTAGAAAGTTAACACTTGTTTACTTCTGTGTTGAGGATTTCAGGCGACCTTTTCTTCCCCCACCACATGAACCATAAGATCATAACATCATGATTTCCTACATCTCCCTTTGGGGGTTTATTTGGAATCTTAAATTTTCCATGCAGTGTTATTATTTTCAAAACTTCAGTAGTACCATGAGAAATGTCCTCCAGTGTCCTCCATCCTTACTGTGTTCACAGCAGCCCGGGGGGCTTTTTGCACATACAGGGGAGTGAAGCAGGCTCCTGTGTTCAGGAGAGGTGAGGGCATGCTGGAGCTGAAGAGAGAATTTTTTTTCACCAGGATTGGATTCAGGCCAGGTCACCATTCACTGGAATAGGGACACAAGTGCTTAATGTCAGGTTGGCTGCAGGAGACCAACCTAACCCCTCAGAAAACGTTTTTGAATGCCTGTAGGCTCTGGTGGATTGTTGCAAGTTAAGGAGTTTTTGCTTTCCTGAAGCTGAGGTCTTAGGTGCATTTCTGTTTTAAGGGTTCTCAACTCCAAATTTGAGTACTGGCAGAGGGTAAGGGCAAGATGAAATGGAGGGGGATGCAGGGAAGCAACTGATTATTAATTTAAAGTTGGAGTCCTATATATGAATCCTGCATCCACTCTGGGAAAAGCACTAAGGTAATAAGCCCAGATCTATAAAATGATTAGTTGGGTATTGATATTTCTTAAAATGTAGTAGGAGTATATCACATATATAGCATTTCCAGATAAGATAAATTGTCAATTGCTTTAAAATATCTTTTCTTAATCATTGCCCTAAGAGTCTATATACAAAGTATTTGTAGTTTCCTTTAGGTGATAGAAATTTGAGACGTAAAATGATTAAATTGGTAGCTCAAATACATAGACATTCAGAATGTGAACTAGGACTAGAAATGAAGTCTCCTGACTCTGATTTCCAGGCTGGGTCCTTCAGAATGGGCTGTAGGGATTGCACTGTGCAGACCTGCCAGACTAAGGGAGTTATACTGCAGAAGAATACTCTAGTATTCCTACAGGGGAGAAGACATATAAAGAGGGTGAGCATTTACAGATTGAAATAATTCAATATATCACCAAAAATGAATATCAGAATTGCACATATAGGGGAAACTGGGTCTCAAAATTAGGAGTCATTATATATGATAAGTCAGGCAACAAAGTCCAAATATGAAATAACAAGAACCCACAAAGAAAAACTAACTGCTCTCTGAGTATAATCATTTTGGAGACATGGCCTGCCCAGATGGCCCTGGGATCTTCTGTTTCCAAATACTAGGATGATGCAAATATACCTGTACATGACGGATGTATTCAGTGTGTGTGACAACCAAGTATTCAGCTGCAGATCAGATAAGTCCTTCTCTAAATCAAAGTACCATCTTTATTCACAACTCAGTTGTGTAAAGGTATGGTTCCTGTTTATTTTGACCAGCATGAAAGAACATATCTGTGGGTTGTGGGACGTACCTTCACGTGCTCCTCTTCTATATTCAGGACTTCTCTCTATCTCTGCTAAGAAGGTAGATGACTCCAGTAAGCAGGCCAAATAAAAGTGAGACTCAGTGCAGTGTTACAGAGGTGAGGCATGGACAAACTTGCAGGGGAGAAAACTTCTGGCTTTTTACTCCTTAGTGGTAGGGCTTCAAATCTGTAATGAATGGGGAAAAATAACATAAAGTGGGCTCAGCCCTAAGCCTCACTGCTTCAGATTGGGTGCTCAAGGCTGATCCGAAGTTTTGTCCCCATCCATGCACTCTTTGGTCTAAATAGGGAAAAGGATTATTGTTCTGAAATAAAATAGAATTCTGGAAGGTGAGATACTGAGGAACCCTATAGTATACTTACCTCCCGAACAGATCAGTACTTCTCTGTTTCCAAAGTGGGGGAAAAGGAGAAGATAATTTACAAAGCAGTCAGTTAGTCAAAGTGGAAAATACTGTTTAATGGTCTAAATGTGTAATATGCTCACTGGGGTAGGATATTAAAATGTGGCAATGAGTGTTGAAAACTTTAAGGTACCCATGTGTCAAGCCCTGGACACATCCTTGCAAAGGAATATTGAGTATTTGGGAGTGTTTGTCCGTAGAGTAGCAATGGAAACTAAATGCAATTAGAAACTGATTAATAAATGTGAAAAGCAGTACCTGAAGATCTCCCCAGAGGACCACAGGGAATGATCCTGTTTGCGGGAACCAGCATGTGAAAAGTTCTGTCATCTTGGTTTATTTGTCTAAGGTATGGGTTAGGCTATTTCTCTTTTTTTTTGATGATCAGTTGCTTGTAGTTCTTCAAGGCCTCATCAACAGTATTAGAGCAGGAATAGGGGGAGGATGTGGTAAGGGGCTGAAAGGACACTTCATGTAGAGAAGCCATATTGTTACCTGGGCAATACCCTTCCCTCAGGCATCCTGCAGGGCTGCGGGGAGCTCAGCATGGGAGGGGTTCCCCCCGGGAGGGTCTGCTGGTAGGGCTGCAGTAAGTCATACAGACCAGGTGGACATGCCTGATCTCCATGACGCCAAATCACCAGGTGTTTGCAGATTTTACTAGAAATACTGCCTGACAATTTGTCCTTAGAAATGTATTTAACTTGCCTTAAGATCTTGACTTCGCTGATATTCTATTTAAGATGGGGAGAGGAAAATTTAGAGTGTGGGCCATTTCATTTGTACTGGAAGGCAGGCCTTGGTGCAGAGTTATGGAGATGGCAGGGGGCCATTTGTTCCGAGATGAAGCGGGTGGGAAAGTGCTAAAGCAAACGTTTATCTGTTTACACACCCCGCCCCTGTAGACTAGTCCTGGCTTTAACATCATCTAACACAGTCATCTGAATTTTTCACTCTTTATTATTTTGTTCAAGTGATACATTTTCAGATGAAGATGTTGTCATGTAGTAGGAGATTGAAACAATAGGAAAAAATATTGTGGTTGAATTTATGGAAGTAAAATAAGTTGAAAATTAATATTTAACCTCATAGTTTTCACTAACTTTTATAATACAGAAAATATAAGTTTCCATGGAATCAAAGAAAAAATACGCTGTTTTTAAAAAAAATTACAGTGATGGACTAAAACTTAGCTCTAAGTTAGGTATATTGTGTCATGTAAAAAGTGTTGTTTTTTGAGCAACAAAACATGATTTTTGATTTTATTTCTTCCTCATTGAGAGAAGAACATTTCAGGTGCGATAGCTGCCTTAGCTACTAATGGCTGAATATTAGGAGAAAGTACCCTGCGTCCTTCTCTGCATTGGACCATGAGGAAAGGTCTTCACACATGTGCTTTCCTTCCTCTCATATCAAGTCATCTTTGCTTGCTTTTATGCCCATATACAAGGGGTGGATACTCATAGCAGTAAGTTGAAAAGAGAAAAAGAGAAAGAACAAGATACACTTGCAATCCCCCCCTTCTGATCCACTCACGGCTGGGACACCAAAGGCTGACAAAAAGACCAGAAAGGTCAAAGGCTATCAAAGGAGGAGAGTTCTCCAAGCCTCCCGTCTACTGCCGAGCCCTCAGCAATACCGGACATTGCCTCCAATTTTACATAGGCTTGAATTTGTGGAGGAGATGCACAGAGCACGTCAAACTGGTCACCTGACCTCGCCCGAGGCAAAGGTGACACTACTATTAGCACTCCGACTGCTCTTAGACTTCTCCAGGCAGCAGCAGTTCACAAGGCACGTTCCCCACAAAGTACCTACGTCTGTGCTTACATGTACTGTGAGTTGTGCAGTATTATCTGTTTCATATAAAAAAGTTTGTCACTAAACCAAAATCACACCACTGTAAATAAATAATAAATCAGGCGTGAAACCTAGGTTCTCTGATTCCAGATCTTTCCACAAGACCCAGCCTTTTCCCAAGATTTCCTTTTGTAATGAATCTACCCATTTTATTACTGAGGGTCTAGTTCTTTTATCTTTCCAACTGAGTTCTTCATTGTTTATCATTTACCTACCACTGTCACCTGGCATCCTCTCCTTTCCCTAGGTACTGAGATAATTTGGTAAAGACACACACAGTTCCTAAAATTTTACTACATTAACCTCAAAGATTTCACTGTGGTCTCCCTGACACCACAGCAAGCCCTTAGGAAGGGGCTGGCCCATCTCTGATGCAGAGTAGATATGATGTCTGTCAGGAGAAAGCCTGTCGTCATTGTCCATAAATGGTCTGAAACATCTGGTTAAACCTGCCCAGTTGTATCCAGTATGTATTCATAAAGTTATTTTATGGATATTTGATTCAACAGCTTCTGTTATTTCTGACTTTCTCTGCAGATTGATAATCTTCATATTTTTAAATGGACACAGATAACCAGACATGGGTGAGAGAGTTTATCCTCCTGGGCCTGTCCCGTGACTGGGACACTCAGGTCTGTCTTTTTGTCCTGTTCTTGGTCATGTACCTGGCGACAGTGCTGGGGAACTTCCTCATTGTCCTTCTGATCAGACTGGACAGCCGACTCCACACTCCCATGTATTTCTTCCTCAGCAACCTCGCACTTGTTGATGTGTCTTATGCCACAAGCATCGTCCCTCAGATGCTGGTGTATCTTCTTGCAGAACATAAAGCTGTCTCCTTTGTGAACTGTGCAGCCCAATTATTCTTCTCCCTGGGCTTGGGTGGGATTGAGTTTGTTCTACTGGCAATGATGGCCTATGACCGCTATGTGGCTGTGTGTGACCCCCTGAGGTACTCGGTCATGATGCACGGAGGACTCTGTGCCAGGTTGGTCACCGTGTCCTTGGTCAGTGGGTCTGTCAACGCCCTCATGCAGACCGCTATCACCTTTCAGCTGCCCATGTGCATGAACAAGTATATTGATCACATATCCTGTGAACTCCTAGCTGTGGTCAGGCTGGCCTGTGTGGACACCTCCTCCAATGAGGTTGCAATCATGGTTTCTAGCATCATCCTGCTGATGACACCCTTCTGCCTGGTTCTCTTGTCCTACATCCAGATCATCTCCACCATCCTAAAGATCCAGTCCACAGAGGGGAGGAGGAAAGCCTTCCACACCTGTGCCTCCCACCTCACAGTGGTTGCCCTGTGCTATGGCATGGCCATTTTCACTTACACCCAGCCCCGCTCCAGCCCTGCTGTCCTTCAGGAGACATTGATCTCTCTCTTCTATGCTATTTTGACACCCATGCTGAACCCCATGATTTATAGTCTAAGGAGCAAGGAGATGAAGGGGGCCTGGAAGAAACTTTTAGGGGAATTATCTGGATTAATGTCAAAACTGGCAACCTGGTGGATCCCGAGCATCATTTGGAGAAAAGAGCTTTGCCTGTGTGTTCTCCCACTCAACTCTGATGAGACAGGCATCAGCTGCATTGCCCCGGCAACCAGGAGCGGAATGAGAAAATGTGTGCTGGTGACGCAGGGCAGGAGGCTGAGTGGTTGGGTCGGAGTGTGGGAAGTAGGTGCATTTGTATGTTTCAGGAGCTGTGCGGTGGGGTTGTACACTGTTGTAATCGAACTGCCCAGCTGACCTTCATTCTATGACCTGAAGGTAATTGAAGAAAATACCATTTACTGTTTTCATTCACCACACTGTTTGTAGTCATGGACTTTTTCATAAATCTTACCTTGAAACATTGGTTTTTACTCATCCACATTTTGTAGAAAGTTATATTTTCATTGGGAACAAAATTAATTTCATATTTGCAGACTCACTTAAAATAATGTGTGGCACATGCAGCCACACCCAGTAATTGTGTGAGTCGCTACTCGGAGAAGGGTGTTGCCTCAAGGTCCATTAAGATGTTTTTGAGCCAGACCTACTGTGTGTAGATTTGTAGATTCTGTCTGAGAAATGAAAATAATCAAGCAGAGAAATGTGAACTAAAGTTCTTTTTTTTACCCTGATAAGGTTATAACCAAGGGTTGTTTGTACACAGTGACATTTTGGCTAAGGAAAATCTGAGATTCAGTTATGCTAAATAGTGTATGAATAATTTGGCAAGAAAAACTATTGTGTATATATATGGGTCTTAGTCACAAAACTAAAGTGACTTTAGTTTTCTCTGAAACTTAGAAAACAGTATAAGCAATGAGATATATGGACAAAATATCAAAGCCATAGTCTAAGAATAGCAGTTTCCTTAGGCAAGCCAGTGAAAGATAATAGAGCTTTAGTATGGATTTGGGATTATCAAGATAGTCCTGCTGTGCAGATGTTACACTCAAGTGTCTACATGAAAAGCCTTTTTGTACCTGCCCCCCATCCTAAAGGCCCACCTACACCTTTGTAAATCTAGTGAGCTGGTATCATTTCCGGAGTGCATCTTGCCTCTGATGATAAACCTAAACAATGTGTAAAAGGGGGAAGAAATGATTCAACAAGGTTTAGGTGAGGGGAGGAAGAGAAAGAATATGATAATTGTGGATCTTACTAGTTTCTTCAAGAGACTCAGAGAAGGATCCTCCTTTCTCTGTCTCTTCATTTAGTGAGTTGATTTAAACTTGTTTGATGTGCATTTGGGAGTTGGTGATCAAAAGTTAAAGGGTTTCCATTGACCCCTGTTTTCTCTGTGAAACAAGATGGGGTGCCCACTGCTGAGAGTTCAGAGAAGGAGATAAGGAGTAAGTGGTTTGTGAGCAGTTACATGCCCACGTGGTGTATAGGGTAATATGTTCCCTTTGGCTGTGGACTCCACTCTGTGCCCAAAGTATCTCTGAATTTCAGCCCAGGATCTTCAATTACAAGGGCACAGTGATCAAATTCTTCCTCAGATATGAGCAACTTTATTCTCAGCCTTCTCTAAATGAGGCTACATTTTGTGGACATCATTTTGTTGAAGACACGGCTGCAGGCATTGTGGGTTATCAAATTTAGTCTCCTAGGGCAGGGGTTGGGAACCTGTTTCAACCAGATGGTAAGTATTTTAGGCTTTATTGGCCAAACAGTCTATGCCACACCTACTCAACTCTGCCTTTACAGCCCTAAAACAGCCCAGACAACACACAAAAGAATTAGTGTAGTTATAGCACCAATAAATCTTAATTTATGGACACTGCAATGTGAATTTTACATAATTTTCACATCATAAAATATTACTCATCTTTTGATTTTTTTAATCATTTAAAAATATTTTAGAAATACTTTTTTTTTGCAAACCATACAAAAACAGGCAGTGGGCCAAATCTGGCCTCTGGGCTGCAGTTTGCTACACCGTTTTAGGAGAAATAGGACAAAAATGCAAAATTATAGCCCAAGGTATGCACAGAAAGAACTCCAGAAATTCAAAAGAAAAAGGCATTTTTTTCCTGTATGTGGGCAGAGGGTCATATAGGTGAAGGCTTCTAAGAGAAGATGAAGTGGTTCTTACTTCAGTTTGCAATTCAGGAAGCATCTCATTTCTCATAGTCATTTAGGTTCAATTTCCAAAGATCTAAGGACTCATACTAATGGGTGAGTGGAGGAGATGAATCATGCATTGAACACTAAATCAGATATGTGTTCAATACTAACTGGATGGTTTGTGTTATTTCTTAGTCATTGCAGAATTTAACTATAGGAACAGGTCTTTTGGGAGCACATTCCCTGGTACATTAGCTAAAGCTTTCATTCTGTACTGACACTTATCCTCACATCTGGGACCATCAGATGCTCCTCCATCCATCCCATTGAAATCCAGTGTTTTGAAACCTAAACCTGCCCCTATAAAAAATGGGTGCACATTACCAGCAGTTGTCTGTTTTGTGGGAGTGCTGTGATTAGTTGTCCTTCTAGTTCCATTATGGGGTGAGGCTACTTGGTGGTATCTGGCCCTCCGTATCGTGTTTTATCTCCCATCCCATGGAAAATTTCTTTTATCACTTGTATGCACGCTAACACCTCACTCCGTTGAACCTTTTACATCTTCATCAAAGTATAGCAGGATAGTAAAACAGTAAGTGCAATCCCGGACAAGCTACAAAAACTATATAAGACTCAGCTTTATTGTTGAAAATTTATATAATAAATTTTCTGAGCATTTGAGAATATCAAATGAAATATTATATGTAAAGCACTTAGTAGAACGTCTGACACAAAAGCCACTTGGTAACTGTTAGCTATTATTATTGCTTTTTTTCTAGTAGAGCATCCTTCCCATTTCTTCTCCACCCTCTGTGCTCTCTGACCCTCTGGACAGTGTTTTAGACCAGTTAGCTAGTAACTCAAAACAATCTAGGGGGCCTGACAGAAGAGTAGATGCTACAAAAATATCTAGAAAATAGACCTCTGATGTTTGGCCAGAAAGAACAAATTCTGTCTTTTGCATTCTTTACAGGGGAGATATCATCCCCAGGGGGGGGTCAAAATTGGTCCTTGCAGACTCAAAACAATCTAGGGGGCCTGACAGAAGAGTAGATGCTACAAAAATATCTAGAAAATAGACCTCTGATGTTTGGCCAGAAAGAACAAATTCTGTCTTTTGCATTCTTTACAGGGGAGATATCATCCCCAGGGGGGGGTCAAAATTGGTCCTTGCAGACTCAAAACAATCTAGGGGGCCTGACAGAAGAGTAGATGCTACAAAAATATCTAGAAAATAGACCTCTGATGTTTGGCCAGAAAGAACAAATTCTGTCTTTTGCATTCTTTACAGGGGAGATATCATCCCCGGGGGGGGGGTCAAAATTGGTCCTTGCAGAGGGGATGACAATATCCTGGATATTGCAATGATTATAGTCCTTCCAAGGGCCTTGGTACATAAACAGCTATATAGTATATCTGTGATATTAAAATTTCATGGGGTGGATGGTTAAGAAAAAGATATTTAAAAAGTTTCCTCAGGACAATAATGAATAATAGTTTGAGAAACCCGTGCTCTATGTGTAGAGAACAATTTCCTCTTTGAGCACCCATATCACAAGTGAATCATGAGCTCAAAGGACAGAAGACAAATAGTCTAGTATTAATTAATTATGGACTTTAGGCTTGCACCATCTGTTTTCATTTGCCTGCTTGACCTACTCCATCTAAGCAAATCCTTCTGCCCAGTTGGTTCCTATACCTATTTTTGGCCTTTATAACCACATGGGTATGGACAACAGATGTTGTTTAGTGTGTTCATCCTGCTGTGAAGCCTGAGTCACTGGGGACGCTGTGCTGTGTTTCGGCCATGTGCATGGTGACAAGTGCTGTGGTAGCTTCTTCACCAACCCTCTCTGAGCAGTCTAGACCCCTGTCCAGCTGACTATTTCATATATATTTTTTTACTTAATGGCTGTGTTTTGTGTGGTTTAATTATGTGATAGCACTGTTTGACGCAGGCATATTCACTCTTTGGGAGCTGAGAGATCTAGGAAGTTTTTGATGGGGTATTGGAATTCCTCTCAGTTATATAATATAACTGGGATTTAATAACATATAAATATAAGTGGATTTACATAAAGAAAATAGGACTTAAATCAGATTTATAAAAATCTGAAAGAACAGAGCAGTCTTAGCTACTCTGTGCTGCACTTAAAAATCTTAAACTTTAGGGGCCCCTAAATATGTAAGTTTGTGTTGATGCTTCTCCTCAAAATAGGGCTGTTATTCACATTGTACTGAGGAAGAATTTGAATTTCAAGTGTGTGTAACTTATGTAAGCTCACACAGCTGGTAATCTATGCTTAGAGCCTAGATTCAGTTCAGGCTTGACTTGTCTGAGCCCAAAGGCATCATAAGTCACAACAGGGGCACCCCTATTGGGATATTGCAGGTGCCTGCTTGTGTGGATCCACATTTAGCAGAAGATGTGAAAACCCCACAAAGCCGTAATGTTACCACTACAATTGGGATGGTTACAGTTCCAAATGATAAGAACCAAACAGACTGATGCAAGCACAATTAACAACTAAATAAATTGAATGCCATAACTGTGGGATGTGGTAATGAACTGGTATCTGAATAACTGAATCTAAAGTCCATAACATTTTCTTGAAGTGTATCTTTCTATTCTTTCCTGTCTCTTGGCTTTGCTTCTCTCTGTGGGCTTCATTATATTATATTGTTCATAGATTTCCTCCATGAGGTGGAAAACTAACACTTCGAGGCCCTAGGTATAAATCATGACACGAGAGACAAAATCCTGACTTGTCTGCCAGCTCTAACAGAAGTCTCAGACGTGGGTCCACATTGGCTGAGCCCCGGCCACGTGGTCTTCCCTCAGTCAAGCTCTCTGTTAGAGTTATGAGGCATTTTGATTGGGCATTAACTTGTTAATTTTGTTGATTTGAATCATTTTGATTTGTAGAAACTTGAGAGCATATCCCTCATCATATGCTCTATCTTGGTAAATGTTACATGTATTACTGAAAAAAATATATTTTCTGTTATTGTTGATTGTAATATTCTGTAAATGTTAGTTAGGTCAAGATTGATAGTATTCAAGTTTCTTATTTCCTAATCGATTCCATACTATTCACTGCCTTCTACTTGCTCTATCAACTTAAAAAAGTTTTAAAAATTGAAGGATGGTTGACTTACATCATGATTCAACAATTATATGCCTTATA